CCCCCAAACACTCCGTCACACCCGCACACACACACACCCCCAAACACTCCGACACACCCGCACACACACACACCCCCAAACACTCCGTCACACCCCGACACACACACCATCACTCCTGACCCCCACCCCCAAACACTCATGACCCCCCCAAACACTCCGTCACATCTCGACACATACACACACCCCCCCAAACACTCCTGACCCCCACCCCCCCAAACACTCCGTCACACCCCGACACACACACCCCCATCACCCCTGACCCCCACCATGAACCCTGTAGGTGTGTAGGGGGTTTCGAGTTCACACGAGGTACAGACGTTTCAATACGGGCCAACACAGTCGGTCGACCCGTGGCACCTGCTGGGTCTGCCCCGTGACCTCCTGCCAGCGGGCGTTCGACACTTCACGTGGTAGCCTCAAGGTGCACATGGCCTGGCACAAGCGTCGTGGTGACGTCACCGCCACTTAGTGGCGAATGGCGGTTGTTGTTGTTGTTGTTTCTGCCTTGTGATGGCTCTTTGTGGGATGAACGTTGAGATTTGGAAGGGCCGCAGGGTGACCACTCAGCTCTGGACTGCTCTGTAACAAGGTCGGGGCACTGACAAAGGGCTGAGAGCTTTGCCATCGATTAGGTGGGGTCCACCAATATCCGATTTGTCTCGCTGTACGGTGACACCCTAGAGGCGATCGTCATCATCATCAAAGATCGTTGACTCCTCTTGGCCCAAGACCACCCACATCGTCATGTCGCTCGCGGTCTCGGACATTCAACGCCGCAGGGACGGAGGCTCCGGTAATCGATAGAACAAATCTCCTGGTCAAAGGGGGGCCCGGCCCCCCAACTCGTAGCTTGGGGGAGGGGGGCAAGGGACCCCCCCCTAGCCACCACGAGCGACTGCACGAACTCCCTGCCCCAAGTTGCCCCCCCAAACCAATCCCTTCCATAAAGTAGCTACAAGCATACAACAACATTTTTTTAGGAAGTTAACTTAACTCGCTTGTCAACTCAATCAACCACGCACGCACTCGCTCACCCACTGCCCCAACTCGCTTACTCCACCAATTCACTCACTCAATTAGCCACTCATTCACTCCACCAATTCACCCATTCAATTAGCCACTCATTCACTCCACCAATTCACTCATTCAATTAGCCACTCATTCACTCCACCAATTCACCCATTCAATTAGCCACTCATTCACTCCACCAATTCACTCATTCAATTAGCCACTCATTCACTCCACCAATTCACTCATTCAATTAGCCACTCATTCACTCCACCAATTCACTCATTCAATTAGCCACTCATTCACTCCACCAATTCACTCATTCAATTAGCCACTCATTCACTCCACCAATTCACTCATTCAATTAGCCACTCATTCACTCCACCAATTCACTCATTCAATTAGCCACTCATTCACTCCACCAATTCACTCATTCAATTAGCCACTCATTCACTCCACCAATTCACTCATTCAATTAGCCACTCATTCACTCCACCAATTCACTCATTCAATTAGCCACTCGCTTACTCCACCAATTCACTCACTCAATTAGCCACTCATTCACTCCACCAATTCACTCATTCAATTAGCCACTCATTCACTCCACCAATTCACTCATTCAATTAGCCACTCGCTTACTCCACCAATTCACTCATTCAATTAGCCACTCATTCACTCCACCAATTCACTCATTCAATTAGCCACTCATTCACTCCACCAATTCACTCATTCAATTAGCCACTCATTCACTCCACCAATTCACTCATTCAATTAGCCACTCGTTCACTCCACCAATTCACTCATTCAATTAGCCACTCATTCACTCCACCAATTCACTCATTCAATTAGCCACTCATTCACTCCACCAATTCACTCATTCAATTAGCCACTCATTCACTCCACCAATTCACTCATTCAATTAGCCACTCATTCACTCCACCAATTCACTCATTCAATTAGCCACTCATTCACTCCACCAATTCACTCATTCAATTAGCCACTCATTCACTCCACCAATTCACTCATTCAATTAGCCACTCATTCACTCCACCAATTCACTCATTCAATTAGCCACTCATTCACTCCACCAATTCACTCATTCAATTAGCCACTCATTCACTCCACCAATTCACTCATTCAATTAGCCACTCATTCACTCCACCAATTCACTCATTCAATTAGCCACTCATTCACTCCACCAATTCACTCATTCAATTAGCCACTCATTCACTCCACCAATTCACTCATTCAATTAGCCACTCATTCACTCCACCAATTCACTCATTCAATTAGCCACTCCTTCACTCCACCAATTCACTCATTCAATTAGCCACTCATTCACTCCACCAATTCACTCATTCAATTAGCCACTCATTCACTCCACCAATTCACTCATTCAATTAGCCACTCATTCACTCCACCAATTCACTCATTCAATTAGCCACTCGTTCACTCCACCAATTCACTCATTCAATTAGCCACTCATTCACTCCACCAATTCACTCATTCAATTAGCCACTCATTCACTCCACCAATTCACTCATTCAATTAGCCACTCATTCACTCCACCAATTCACTCATTCAATTTAGCCACTCATTCACTCCACCAATTCACTCATTCAATTAGCCACTCATTCACTCCACCAATTCACTCATTCAATTAGCCACTCATTCACTCCACCAATTCACTCATTCAATTAGCCACTCGTTCACTCCACCAATTCACTCATTCAATTAGCCACTCATTCACTCCACCAATTCACTCATTCAATTAGCCACTCATTCAATTAGCCACTCATTCACTCCACCAATTCACTCATTCAATTAGCCACTCATTCACTCCACCAATTCATTCCCCTGCAAAACACACTCAGCCATGCCGGCATTCACTCACTCGCACAACGCCACACAAACTCACTCCTTCAAATGATCGGCAAACTCATTCCCTCAATCGCTGACTTACTAACCATTCACTCACTCATTCACTCACGTGCCCAATCACTCACCCCATCGCTCATTCAATTAAACACAGACTCACTCAATCATTCACCCACCCGGTGACTCATTCAGTAACTCAACCAACCATCACCCACCCATCCACTCATTCACTCAGGCATGTCACTCGCTCAGCCACTTACCAATGTATTCACTCTGCACCTCCGATTAGCACGGTTGGTTACGAAAGTTCAACACACATACACACTCACCTATCCACTCACTCACCCGGCCAATCACTCACCTGGTCACTCACTCACCTGGTCACTCACTCCGGCCACTCACTCACCCGGTCACTCACTCACCTAGCCACTCACTCACCCAGCCACTCACTCACCCAGCCACTCACTCACCCCGTCACTCACTCACCCGGCCACTCACTCACCCGGTCACTCACTCACCCGGTCACTCACTCACCTAGCCACTCACTCACCCAGCCACTCACTCACCCCGTCACTCACTCACCTAGCCACTCACTCGCCCGGTCACTCACTCACCCGGTCACTCACTCACCCAGCCACTCACTCAACCAGTCACTCACCTAGCCACTCACTCACCCAGTCACTCACTCAGCCAGTCACTCACTCACCCAGCCACTCACTCACCCGGTCACTCACTCACCTAGCCACTCACTCACCCAGTCACTCACTCAGCCAGTCACTCACTCACCCAGTCACTCACTCATCCGGTCACTCACTCACCCAGTCGCTCACCTAGCTACTCACTCACCCAGTCACTCACTCAGCCAGTCACTCACTCACCCAGTCACTCACTCACCCGGTCACTCACTCAGCTGGTCACTCACTCAGCCAGTCACTCACTCACCTGGTCACTCACTCATCCGGTCACTCACTCACCCAGCCACTCGCTCACCCGGTCACTCACTTACTCAGTCACTCACTCACCCGGTCACTCACTCACCCAGTCACTCACTCACCTAGCCAATCACTCACCCAGCCACTCACTCACCCAGCCACTCACTCACCCGGTCACTCACTCACCCCGTCACTCACTCACCCAGCCACTCACTCACCCAGTCACTCACTCAGCCAGTCACTCACCCTGGTCACTCACTCACCCAGCCACTCGCTCACCCGTTCACTCACTCACCTAGCCACTCACTCACCCGGTTACTCACCCACTCAATCACCTCTTCAGTGACTGAACCCAAAAAACCCATAATCCTTCCCCCACAACTCTCCCCACACGGCACTTGGCAATGACCACTCAAGACCCCACTCAAGACCCCCTTGCAGGAGCCGGGTCCCAGCAAGACCAGGGGGGGTATCTGGAGAGGGGGTCCCTGAGAGGGGGTCCCTGCAATGGGGTCTTTGTCGGCCAGGGCAGGGTCGGGATAAGGAGGGGCTTGGATAACAGCTCGTGGTCTGTGTTCGGGTCAAGTCACAGGGCTTGGTATTTGCGCAGTACTATTGGGGGTCAGGATATAGGAGTCAGCGTTCGGGTTAGGGGGGTTAAGGTTAGGGTTAGAGTCGAGGCTTTGCGATGTATGAGGGGGGTCATCGTTGAGGGTGAGGGGGTCAGAGTTGAGGGTGAGGGGGTCAGAGTTGAGGGTGAGGGGGTCAGCGTTGAGGGTGTCAGCGTTGAGGGTGAGGGGGTCAGAGTTGAGGGACGAGGGGGTCAGAGTTGAGGGTGAGAGGGTCAGCGTTGAGGTCAGCGTTGAGGGTGAGGGGGTGAGAGTTGAGGGTTGATGTCAGAGTTGAGGGTTGAGGGGGTCAGCGTTGAGGGTTAGGGGGTCAGTATTGAGGGCGAGGGGGTCAGAGTTGAGGGTGAGGGGGTCAAGGTTGAGGGGGTCAGGGTTGAGGGGGTCAGCGTTGAGGGGGTCAGCGTTGAGGGGGTCAGGGTTGAGGGTTAGGGGTCAGGGTTGAGGGGGTCAGGGTTGAGGGGGTCAGGGTTGAGGGTGAGGGGGTCAGCTAGGGGGGTCAGGGTTGAGCGTTGAGGGGGTCAGGGTTGAGGCTGTAGACACTCGCGGCCCTCACCTGAACATCGTCTGGTTGGCCCTGAGGCGCATCCTGTTCAGCTGCTTCTTCATCATGTCGACGGCGGGAGGCTCGGGCGAGGTGACGACGACGACGAGGAGGTGGAGGAGGAAGTTGAGGACGAAGATCGGAAAGAGGAGGAGGTGGATGAGGTGGTGGTGGAGGATGAGGAGGTGGTGGTGGAGGTGGTGGTGGTGGTGGAGGTGGTGGTGGTGGAGGTGGTGGTGGTGGATGATGAGGTGGAGGATGAGGTGGTGGTGGTGGAGGTGGTGGTGGTGGAGGTGGTGGTGGTGGAGGTGGTGGTGGTGGAGGTGGTGGTGGAGGAGGTGGTGGTGGAGGTGGTGGTGGTGGATGATGAGGTGGAGGATGAGGTGGTGGAGGTGGCGGCTATCGTCGCAAGAGACCTCGCGGTAAACTCCACCGAAGTCGCTCTACAGCAGCCGCAGAGGCCACCACCTCATCGTCGTCATCTCCCCCTCGGTGTCTCTCTCTCTCTCGCTGCCCCCCCGTGTCTCTCTCGCTGTCCCCCCGTGTCCCACTGTGAGCCGTGTCCCTCTGAGCTGTCCGAACTCCTCGTCTCCCCGTGGCCGGCTCTCTTCCCCCTCTCCCCTCTCTCTCTCTCTCACTGTCCCCGTGTCTCTCTCATTGCCTCTGTACACCGAGTCTCACTGTCAGCCGTGCCTCTGTCTGCGTCTCCCTGTATCTCTCAATGTCCCGTGTCTCCACTACTCTCGCCGTGTCTCCCCCCCACCCACCTCTCTATATCTCCCCGTGTCTCCCCGTGTCTCCCCCCCACCCACCCACCTCTCTATATCTTCCCGTGTCTCCCTCCGTCTCCCCGTGTCTACCTCCGTGTCCCCGTGTCTCCCTCTGTATCTGTCTCCCCGTGTCTCCCTCCGTGCCCCCGTGTCTCCCGCCGGGTCCCCGTGTCTGCCTCCGTGTCTCTGTCTCCCTCTGTGTCTCTCTCCCCGTGTCTCCCCGCGTGTCTCCCTCCGTGTCTCTGTCTCCCCGCGTCTCCCCGCGTGTCTCCCCGCGTGTCTCCCTCCGTGTCTCTGTCTCCCTCCGTGTCTGTCTCCCCGTGTCTCCCTCCGTGTCTCTGCCTCCCTCCGCGTCTCCCCCACCACCCCGGACGTAGCCTGTGCGGCCATGACGTCATCCCCGCTCGCCCTTCATCAAACTCCGCCGCCATCTTGCTAAGGGGGAGAAACCCACAATGGCGGCGGGCGGGGGGAGGGGCCACGGCCCCCGCGCGCGCCCCGCCCCCCATAGGCCTCCCGGAGTGACGCGCGATGACGTCGCCAGCAACGTCACGGAACTCAATGGCGGCAGCCCTCCCCCCTGAGTAAGATGGCCGCCGCCGCTTGCGTCACCTGCGATCGTCTAAAACAATTTTTTAAAATAAAGAAATCGATTTCAAAGCAAAGACAAAGGTCCCCTCACACCCCCGCCACCTCAACTCCCCCCGCCGTGTAGCCTTCGACAGAGCGTGGGGCAAGTGCTGTGCTTAGTGAGGTTGCGGAGCCTGCGAAGGCCGTAGGGAGGGAGGGGCGGGGTGCGTGGGTGGGGTGGGAGGTGAGGGATGAGTGGTTGGGGAAGGGTGGGTGGGATGAATGGTTGGGGAGGGGTGGGTGGGATGAATGGTTGGGGCGGGGTGACTCAGCACCACGCCCGGTCGCCTTTTCTTCACCCCCCAATCGACGTTTCCGCATCGCTCCGGCCACTCGTTTTGTAGGCCGAGTCGACCTAGGGGAGACCCAGGACCGGTTCGGACAATCGCCACTGACGAACTCGGGCGATGGACCCGTTCCGTTGGTGCGACGCAGTAAATGACGTCACGCGATTTTGGACGATTTTTGACCCCCCCCTCGAATATGACGTCACAAAGCTCGGGCCCTCCCCCCCCAAAACCATATTTCCATTTTGAAAATGCAACATGCTTAAAATCGCTTTAAACTATTGTCATTGTAGTGCGTATTTAATGTGGCGCTGCACTCTGATGTTGTAGGAAAAAACATTTATTAAAAAGTCTATTTATCTGCTTGGTTCTTTCGGTAAAGTCGCGTAGAAGGGAAATAAAAATAATAAATATAAAACATAATAAAATACAATTCTCACGACGTTTCGGCCACAACGCAAGCAGCCGTCCTCAGGTGAAGAACAGGTCTGTCGGAAAGACAGTGTCTGAATGTTAGAGGAGGAAGGGCGCTTTGACAAAGGAATTTGCATATCAACAGAGGAATTTAGCATATTTATGAAAAATGCAGATATGGGATTAGTCACTACTTGTGGAATGTGTAAGTGGTGGTGGGGGGGGTCTCAAAGTCATATTATGCTCGTGTATTATGCAGGATTAGCAGTCATAAAGGGAGGAAGTAGGATTAGCAGTAATAAAGGGAGGTACATTTTAATAGTAAGGAGCTGCAGTAGCCAAACCACCACGTAAAAAAAACTAAAATTAAGTAGAACGTGTTGATATAACGTCCCATTTCTCCAACCCGGTCGTGGGTTGTATATTTGGCGTTTGCAGTGTCCTGTCTCCCCGTGGTCGCGTGGATTTTTCTCCGGGTTTTCCCCTCCACATTTTGCATCAATGTCACGCGTTTACAGTATTTGGCCACTGCTATTCATTTCCACGCAATGAGCCATTTCGTTGAGCTATAATTTGTATGGCCATGTCGCTTCTGAACAAGAAGCCAATAGTTTCGTGGGCTTTACCTGGTTAAATAAAATAGTTTATGTTTCATCTGCGGTTTGTTTTATTGACTTTTTTTACCGTTCATATACTTCTAGTTTTGAAGCTTTCGTGACTGCAAGGATTCATATTCTTAGGTTTTTTCGGTAAAGTCACGTAGGTAAAAAAATTAAATTATTAAAAGTAAAATAAAAATAAAATAAAAATCACGACGTTTCGGAGGCAACACAAGCCTCCGTCTTCAGGTGGAACCGTCACAGCACGATAGCTGTATCAAGTGAGAGAAATTCCAAGAAAACAGTCCTTGTATATATACTGGTTGAGGGTATGAGGAGCCAAGGTAGGCACCTGGATATTATAATTGTGAGGTTCGGTGCGGCTGAAGCACGCTGTTAGGAATGAGCCTTTGTTGTGTAGACTCGTGTTGTGTTTTTGTATCGTTTGTTGTGGTGGTCACGTTCTTACCCCCCGTGACCCTACTTGGACATCTTTGTTAAAGCGCCTTGTAGGTCATCGGATTCCTCCTAAGGTCTAAACATTCTCATTCTGACCGGGATGCGTTCGACCCAATCCCCCCCCCCCCCACTTCACGTCTCGTTACAGCTTGGGTGTGACGTCACGACCCAGGTTTAGAGTATTTGCTCGCTCTTCTTGGTTCTTTCGGTAAAGTCACGTAGAATGGAAATAATAAAATAAAACATAATAAAATAATTCTCACGACGTTTCGGCCACAACGCAAACAGGCCTGGTCTTCACCTGAGGACGGCTGCTTGCGTTGTGGCCGAAACGTCGTGAGAATTATTTTATTATGTGTTATTTTATTATTTCCATTCTACGTGACTTTACCGAAAGAACCAAGAAGATGAATCCCTGCAGTCATGAAAGCTTTAAATCGAAATTTATTTGCTCGCTGTTATAAATTGCCACACGATGATAAGTCACTTTGTTTGAGCCATCATTTGTGGCCAGGTCGCTTATAAAAAGTAAAAACTACGTAGCTTAGTTGGCCTTACCTGGTAAAATAACAAAAACATTCTTAATTTGGAGCTTTCGTGACTGCAGGAATTACTCTTTGGTTATTTCGGTAAAGTCACGTATAAAGAGAAAATAATAAATTAAATACTAGCATACGACGTTTCGATTGCAACACAAGCAATCATCATCAGGTATAAATGAAATAGAAACACAAATCTAGTATACTTAGAAATGTAATGTAATACAACAGAGAGTCGGATAACATAACAGTCAACACCCTACCTGGTTGATTACGTTCTTCCTGAGAATGCTAAATTTGAGAGAGAGATGAAACACAGAACCAGAGACATATAGACAGACATATAAGTAGAGACAGATATCACAAAGATACGTCTCTCTCTATATATGTAATTCTGTGATATCTGTCTCTATAGCGTTCTCTAAAGCACGTGTTCATCTTTTTGTCTCGGTGCAATTCCCAGCAATCTGCACCGTTTCAGAATTGCCCCATCAATGTCCATGACAGATGAATATGTAACTATACACGATATAATGACATAATCTAGCCCAATCCACTGCTGGATGAAAGCCACCCCTTGCCTTTCAGTCGTGTGGTTTTTGTTTTAAATGATCATTATCATTCTTCTTCTGTGCTTTCGTCACTCGATCGCCACCAAGGGTGGCACAGTCGAGTTTTTTACAATCGGGTTTGTCTTTTATATTAAACCCGATCATCTGAGATTGGGAGAAATTCGGTTTAATTGGTTCTAATTGCAGAACCGCACTTCGCCAACTTCTCACCGATGGGCTTCATCCATTCCAAGCTAAGGAACTCACTGGCGCCCACGACTGTGGAGGAGAAGCTCGTGTTCATCAAGACCAACCTGCCCGCCGCATTCTACGACTACCCCGTGCCCGACGGCCCCCCGAGTACGACAGCAGCACCGACGAGGAAGCAGCCTAAGCCTTGGATCAGAGTTTCGTATTCATTAAACCAGGTTTTAATTCCCCGAAATCGGGTTTAATTGTATTAATGAAAAAAACCCGATGCCTGCCGCTGGAAAAATCGGGTTTTTTCCACCCATGGACACAGCAGACAAAACGAGATGCAGGGAGACTCTGGGAAGATTCGGTGAGATACGGGGATATGGGAGATACGGGGATATGGGAGACACGGGGATATGGGAGACACGGGAGCTGCGAACACAGGGAGGGACACGCGAGATGCGGGAGACAGGAGCACAGAAGATAATGAAGATGAGGGGACACAGGGCTCCGTGATGGTGAGATGTTAACTACCTCGCCTGGTATGCAGGAGATCGTGGGTTTGATCCCAACCCTGACGCCTGCTGTTGCTGTATATTTGGAGTTTGCGTCTCTCTGCGTTGTGAGATGTTAACTACCTCGCCTGGTATGCAGGAGGTCGTGGGTTTGATCCCAACCCTGACGCCTGCCGCTGGAACAATCGGGTTTTTCCCACCGATGTTCATCGTGTTTGTCGCGATAAGCACCGTGGCACCGCTACAAACCCCCAGCTATAAATAAGACGCCCGTCTGTTGTAAATGCCGGCAATAGAGTTTGACATCGACTTACGACACAGCTGCATTTACATTCACACCGAGTTCTTCACCCAATGGGCATTCAGCAACTGACATTGACGATTTATCACATCTGATGTGCGTTTTTTAAATATATACAATATAACTCCATGGCGAGTCTGTGGTTCTCTGTGCGAGTCTTTTGGGATTGGATGAGTTTGTGAGCCACGACGTCTATCGCTGCGTCAGTGTGAGTCTGCGTGTCCACGTGGGCCTCACGCACTCACAGAGATGTACACATTCGCAGAAGCCCATAGGCTAACACATGCATATATCCTGACATAAACATCCGCGTATATCCTGAGATACACAATTATATATCCTGAGACACACGAAGAGACTTCCACACTCAGAAACCTGTAAACCCACACGAACCCAGAGGCTCGCACAGAGACCCAATAGACCTACATAGAGACCCATAAACTACCTGGATACCTTCTTTATTGTTTTATTTTTATCATTTTATTATTTCCCTTCTACGTGACTTTACCGAAAGA